TTAAAAACTAAATTTTAAAAATTAAGAACTTTTAGAAAGTATTACACAATTTAGTACAAATTGATATAGATTCAAATATTTAATACTCTTATTCAAAGGCTAACTCTCCTGGAGCATGAGATGTGGTTCATGATGACATAGGTGCTTCGTTCTTATATAGACAGTAGTTCTTTCTGACATACTCTTATCCAAAGATCTCCTTGGTGAGTCATTAAGAAGATCAATAAACTAGTGATGGCTGCAGGGAAGAGATCTTGTAAAACACTCATTTAGAAATCACAGAAAGACATTTGTGAAACCAAAGAATGCATAGACCAAAGTGATCACTGGCTCTTCCAAACTAGCCTATAACTGTAATGACACAATCTAATCAAGGGAGGGGTCAGAAAAAGACTAGGACAGGAATGAGAAAATGCAAGTACATTTTTTTTAACTTTAGATGAGATTTAGAAACAATAGGAATGGTGACAGGAGAAAAACATTTATGCAAATTTTAGAAATTCTTTGAGTTTTACTTTCTTCCCTTCCACTAGTTTCAGTAAAATTTTATATTTTTTAGTAAAAACCCAATATCTCTAAAAGCAAAAACATAAACAAAGACCTCCTGACAAAGAAGATGGGACTGAATCCAGCTCCCACTACAAAAGGAGTTAAATCTGGATAACAATGAAATACACATCAATTTACTCAAGAAATGAAGGAAGAGTCTGAGTGTTCTGGACAAAAGAAACACACCGAGAGAGGGACAGGTTATAAGAAAAGCAGTGGATGGTGTGGGAAACCAAAAAACAATCCAACAGCCAGACAAAGCTACTGTGGGCCCTTCTCAGGATCCCTGGGTGTTTATCGCCGGGTATGATATTCACTTGGCCCCACTGGCTTCTGGAACAGCTCTGCTCTTAACATTTGAACAATTTATTGCCTAATTATAGAGTTTGCCCTTTTGAAGAGTCTGTCTGCAGGACACTTTTTGAAAGTGAGTACAGAAAGAGGCCCCTTGGAAAGCCATCCCCCCACTGCATTAAAAGCAAAATAACCTTTTATCAAATGCTTCGTGACCATTTGGAATATTGAATTTGTATTTTAATCATCGAGTTCAACAGGAATATAGCCAGTGGGAAGGACTTAATTACAAATGATGTCTTTCTCATGGTTGTGCCTGCAATCCCAAGGGGTGCTTTAATGACGTTCTGAGCCCTCAGACAAGAAAGGTCAAATGCCTTTCTCCCCCTGCACCTCAGAAAAGCTGATAGATGCACCTTTGTCCTAGCAGATGTTCAACCAGGTATAATATTAGCCTGAGGCAAAAATTCCAGGAACCAAGAGCTCAGAAGGAAGTAATTCTCTGGAATTTGGTGGATAATACAGCAGCTTCTTTTGGAGTTTGAAAAGGAGATGAATTTAGATCATCTCTTTTTGAATATAAATGTATATTTCATTAGGAATGTAATATGCCAGGAGGAATACCATTCTGCCTGGAAATTTATTGTGAGTTAAAGATTCATGATATTTTAGATCGATAGTTTTTAAATGTTGAAAATGTTCCTGCTACATTTATACCAGTTGAAATTGCTCTTTTCGGAAGGTCAAAAAAGGTTGAATATTCTATTTTATCTGGTTCAATGTAATTACTCAATTTGTCTTACAATTACCAAAATTATGCAGTTACATTTCTTAATACTATTTTGGCCTATTTTCATTCTTATAAAATGCTTTTGTTTTATGCTAAACAAGAGCATTTCAAAATGTGCTGATTGATACACATAAGCTCTAAATTTGTGTCTGCTTTTCCAGACATAAATTATTTTAAAAATAAATATAGAAGAAACTTTGGCCTTTCTTGAAACTTAAAAAAGCTGCCTTTCTGGTCTTCCTTCCCAAATTAAAAAACCAACAAAACAAAACAAACCTCAATTTGTAATGAAAGATATCAGTTTCTACATGACTTACTAATGTTAATAAATAGAAGGGATCTTCAAATACAGAATGCTTTTTTGCTATGGTTTGCCTTGAAAAGATACTTGAGTCTTCCGGGTTTTTTTTTTTCTTTTTTACAACTCATAACTTTGAAAAATATTTAAAGGCATGAAAATAGATTCATATTTATTTATTAACTTACTTGATTTTTTTACCCTAGTTTATTATAATGCCTGCTCCCTGATGAAAAATTATGATGGCCAATCAAAGTAATATATACCTCTCTCTATATAGCTGAATATTAATTAGCTAAACACTAAAATCTTTCTTAAAGACCCTTAGTGCTAATTCCGATGTAAATTTCAAATAATTAGTAAACCATGTAAACCCAAAAATGGTTGGAAAATGCATATAATGTTGATTAAATTAAGCATGAATAACACTTAAAACACACACTATTGGCAGGTTAAATATCTGTGATGAAAAGACTGGGATCTGTTAACAAAGACTAGTAACTAGGCAACTGGATGGAGGCTGAAAAGCGGAGGGGAGGAGTGAGAGTGAGAGAGGAGGGAAAGAGTGAGGGAGGAACTCCTCAGGAGCAGCAGAGGTAGGCGGATGTCATTATTCCTGGACTCTATCTCAGGGGCGGGGGCCATGCCTGAAACTGAACAAAATCCTAGTGGCACTCACCGTGGTGTGACTAAGTGGCAAGACAGATTGCCTTGGGTGGCTAATCAATACGTTCTGAAGAGACTATGTTGAAGTCTCTCAAATTCTCTGCTGAAATAGGTGACAGCGCACACCACAAAGAAGGGACGGGAAGGGACGCGTGCCTGCCATGACCGGCTGACCTGAGGGACTCTCAGGTCACCCCAGAAGGGCTTGAGCTGTCTTGAAGGGGGTTTGGAGCCACCAGCAGCAGCCTTGTCCCCAGTATGGCACTCTAGGATACAAATTCTATTTATGTTCGTTGTTTTTGCGTCTAATTCCTTTATGTTCTTTAAAATACACACCACCTCTGAACCTTTACAAGAAACAGCATAAAAACTCTCTCCAGAGTTGAAAAGTAGAGATGAGATGTGCCTTGTTTTTACTGACGATTAAGGTGGCCTACCTACCAGCTGCCTCAATAGCAAGCAATCAACACCACCAAACTGCAAGCTCTGTCGCCTGTTCCCTGCATGGAGAAAACGAGAATTAGGCAGGGGGTGGCGCGCGGGACCTGGGAGCTCCAGCAGGGACTGCACTGCCGGGAGTCCCTTCTCCTTCATGTCCAGCGCGCTGTCCTCTTCAGGGAGGTGCGAGCGTCCAGCTGGTCTCTGGAGCCAAATCTTCCCAAGGTGCGCATGTTCATGTCCCCAAGAAGGAGAGGCACCGCCAGGAAGCAGGAACTTGATGACAGGGGAGGCAGGATGACAGGGGAGGCGGGAAGAAGGACCGGCTGGGCTTTTCCCGGGCTCTCCGGCCACCCCTCCTAGGTCTAGGAGGACGCGGCCGACGCACAGGCTCAGTCTCCAGGACCACGGCGCCGTCGCCGCCCGCGGTCCCCGCCCCACCAGCCACAAGTCATCTGCCCACCAGGCCCCCTTCCCCTTCACCCCTGCCCACGGAAATCCCTGCCTCACCAGCTCATCTGCTCACGATCACCTGCGCACCCAGTCCCCTGACCCTCGTGAGTCAGTCACTAACCCCACCCGCCCCACGGAAGTCCCTGCCCCACCAGCTCATAAGCCCACAACTCCCCTGCCACAGGACGCCCCCCCCCCCGCCCGGGCTCGAGAGGCCGGGTCCTGACGACCCCTAGGCCCCCCGCGGCCCCCGCGCCCACCTCCCGAAGCGGGTGTGCCCACCCCAGCCCAGCCCCGCTCCTCCCTCCTCCCTCCTCCCTCTCATTCCCCTCCTCCACCTCCCCAAAACCCCGCAGCGCCCCTCTCCGCTCCATCAAAGGCGCCTCTGTAGCTGAAACGCGAAGCTACTTCCTCTCCAAACCGCTGGTTACCCAAGGCGGGTCCGCGCCGGGCTCTCCCCCCGTTATAAACACACGTCTGTTTGTCCAAGAGGCGTTCGCCCGCGGGTCCCCTGGTTATTTTGGCAGTGTGTGCGTGTGAGTGTGTATGTGTATATGTGTGCGAATGTGCATGTGTGTGCGCACATTTACATGTGTGTATACGTGTGTGTATGTGTGTCTATATGTGTGAAGTTACGTGTGTATGTGTGTATGTGCGTGTTTGTGTGTATGTATATGTGCGCGTGCGTGTTTATGTGTGTATATGTGTGCCTGTGTGCGCGCTATGTGTGTGTATGTGGGCACGCGTGTGTGTGCGTGTTTTATGTTTGTGCACACACGTGTGTTTATGTGTGAGCATATCTGTGTGTGCCTGCGCGTGTGCATGTGTGTTTATCTTTTGCGTCTGTGTGTGCGTGTGTGCATGCGTGTTTGCGCGCACGTGTGCATATGTGTGTGTGTGTGTGTGTGTGTGTACGCGCGCGCGCGTGCGCGCGCCCTGTGCCATCTGTTTCCAATCCTGGTGTGCATCCACGACCCCACCCAGCCCGCCGCCCTCGCATTCCTCAGTCCATAAATAAATCCAGGTTCCCTAAACTCTGTCATCCAGGATAGAACAACTGCTGTTTGTTAACTCAGATCTAAAACAACACCAATTCTGACCCAGTAAACCAGGAAATCGCTTCTGGCATTTTGGCGGGAAGGACGTCCCCAGTTCGGGCACTGTGTGTGCCCTTATCACCACGTCTGTCTGTTTATCCTGGGAGGGGAAGGCGGCAGAGGCAGGCTCTGTCCTACCCTGGGGTCTTTCCTTTAAGCGGAGGCTCATGTCGTGAGGGGTCTGCTTCCCAGGGAGCGCCCAGATCAGTCCACAGACCCCGACCCGTGCCCTCTGGACGCGCCAGGCGTGACCGGGGTGCTGGGTGGGGCGGGGGCTGTGGCTTGAGCTGTTTTCCCGATCCCGGGACGGTGGGATCGAGCAGAAGGGAAAGCCATCCAAGAGGCTGCTGTTCTCAGGCCGGGCGGGCCCTGCCGCTCCCTTCCTCCTGAAGTTTGCATGAAGCGCACGTTAGGTTGTAATTAGGGGATCTGGGAGGAGAGCTTTCCTGGGGACGCTCTGCTTTTCTTCTACTCTTGGTGAGAAAGTGCCTCCTTCTTCCCAGGATCAGGACCTCTGCCATCCCGCGCCACAAAGAGACCTTCTGCGCGCGCGCGCGCGCACACACACACACACACACACACACACACACACACACACACACTCACCCAGAGACAAACTTAAGGTGAGGAGAAGTCGCCCTGCCTCACTTGGTCTCCAGCCTCCACCTTCAGCAGGACTCCAACGTTTCAACTTCTGGATTTCAGGACAAGGTAAAACTTTCATACTTTTTTCCCCTTCCTCTTTCCGTCATACTTTGGTGCCTTTAAAGAGTTTGGAGAGCAATGCATAGGTAACATGTGTAGACATTAACCGCACTTCTGATTCTCTGAGTTTTTATTTGAGTTCAACATGACATCTCAACTTTTTTTTTAAAGGTTCTTCTTGTCAGATAAAATGTTGCCTTGCAATAAACAAGCTCAGTCTAGCGCTGAGGAGAGAATTAACTCTGGTCTGCCTTTTGCTAGTGGTGCTCTAAATCTGGTGGACTCGTGGATCCAGGTGGTGACTCTGCCATCTGTCTTAGGACCAGCATTTTATAGCACCTGAGATGAGAAAAAAGATAGTTTAGGCTGAAGGAAGTACTGAGAAGTATGAGTGTCCACCCGGATTTATGAGTTTTGTTTTGGGTTTCTGTGAAAAAGAAAGTTACTTTAGTCAGAGTTGATACCTGTTAGATTAATAATCTTTGAAATGTCGCCATTTTGAGCCCAAGCTTCTCTGGCTAATTAGGAAATTAAGATCGTAGAATTTTGATATCGTTCATATTTGGAATGATGTTGATGGATAATTTCAATATGCTGAAAAAAATTAAAGTCATAGCTAAGATTACTTTTAAATGTTGTTTAAAGGAATTATTTATATGTTACCACCTAAAGTAGAATTGAACTCTTTAGGGCTTAGGTTAAGTAGTTTCCTTCCGTTGAATATGACTCTTGTGTTCAAAATAAGATGGTTTATTAATATGAAAATATGTTGTTTTATTTTCATTTATCCCTGGAAAAATACACACGATGGCCAGTACATTTGGGAATTTTTAGGGTGGAAAGTGTTCCTGTACTTGTTCCAGTGTGATGTCATAAAATTAAACATACTGGCTGACTTCTTGGAAGCTAACGGTCCTTAGGAAATGAAGGCTATGAATTAATTTATAAGTGAATGTAATATTCATTCAGTACCAATGTAGTTTCTGGTAACAATTTGTATTTATTTCTGTGTATGAAGTTTGCAGTAATTTTATACACATTTCAATGACTTCTATGCTTTGATGAAGTGGAAATATTGTTCTATCAAAAAGATATCATGGTAGCTCTTGTTGGCTAACTTTTAATGTTATGTTTCTTAATTCTTACATTAGCTATTAACTCAAATTCCATTTATTTAAATGAATGAAAGAAATTTTTCTTTCCATTCAGTAAAATAGAGCGTGTGCCAAAGGACTATTGAACATGTAAGCACCAATCTTTCATCACTTTCATACTATCTGTTGTTAAAATTTTAATTGTTTCAGCTAAGAGAATGAGTTTACATTTTTTTGGTGACCTCCTCACTAAGTTGGAAACAGCTGAGAAATAGGAGAACTAGATAAGTAATTTTATTTAAAGCTTATTAAATGAGCAAGAGAGAAAAGCAGCAACCTCAGCAGTAGACCACTGGTTGCAGGAGGAATGGACCCAGAGGCCAGATTCCAGACCAGAGTGCTGGGGGCCTGGCCTCTCCGTGAGGAACCAGAACCATTATGTTCTTATTTATGAAGTGAGCTATTTACTTTCAGCAGTGCCCTGTCTCTCAGAGGAATGACTGACACTGTAATTTAGAAGTACTGAAGGGACTTTTACAGAGAAGAATCAATTCATTATATCCCTAGTGGTTTCACTTCCTTTTCCTTCCGTTGGGAACAAGTAACACATCCAGGATAAATACATTCAGAGGATGCAGAAAGATACTTTACGAGTGAAGAGTCTACTTAACAATCCTTCCTTTTAGCATCTTGGGTGTAGTAGAGTATTGGTATTTTTCTGAGGCGTTGAAGTCGTTTGAATCATAAGGCAGCACTGCCCTTGTTCGTCTTGTAAAGATGAACAAGAGTTATATTCAGCAAATGACTTCCCTCTTTAGAAAATAGCCCATTTCTTTTAATTTCTTTTTCCCATGTGCACATTTTATTATCCAGGTTACATTTTTAGGGTAATGATATCTCACTAGTTAAAATTTCAACAAGACGCAAGACAAATTTGAAAGTAACTTTATAGAATAGTCTTTTTTTTCTTGCTTCAGATTAATTTTCTGACACCCTGAGTGGTTATTAGTAACAAAAGTCCTCAGTCGACGTCATGTGAATGTATGTAGTCTGTCATTTACAGGGAACAAAATGCTGCTGAGGAAAGGAGGGAAGGATGGAGACCCGAACATACTTAGCATTTTAATCAATAGTGTTTAAGGAGGATTAGAGGAAACAGCTGGTTAAACAATCATTAGGTGTAGAGAAGACGAGATGGTATAAATTAATAATGCATCTCTTTATTTGCACTATGAATGGGAGGGCTGTGGCAGTTGGTGTGCAGCGCAGTCCCTGGGTGCCACCTAGTGGACATATCCGAGAAGGCGTTATCAACAGCCTCAGTACATCCTGAGACTCACTGGTGGTCATTCCTTGAACACTGACTAACGCCAGATGCTGGGGTAGGTACTGAGAGAAGAAAATAAAGCAAGTGACTTTTATGTAACTTAAAAATCAAGGCACAACTTGACAACCGACTAAATTCCCTATGGTCGTATTTAAAATCACTTGACTCTTTATTGGGTACTTTATCATGACTTTTTTTCCTCCACGAGGATGTAGTTTAATAACCACAACTCGCTTCTAATGTAGGAGTTGTTTGTTACAGACATGTCATGGTGTCATTTAAGGAAGAGTGCGGAGAGTTTGACTATCTTGGATTCATCTGGTTCTCAAGCAGAAATAAATTTCTTGAAATTTATTGTTACCGAGTTTAGTTGGGCAGATAACAAATCGTAAAAAGTTAGCACATGGATACACATTTTGTTACTTTGTCTTTAATTTTTCATTAGAAAAAGGATAATAGTAAAGATTCTTTTGGGGTAGTGAGGTGTGCTTTATAAAATATTGCTCTCAAACACTAACACAGCATATATGACAGTTTCATCTGCACCTGGGTTTGTACAGATTTTGAAGCAGGAAGCTGGCTTTCATTAAGTTGACATAATAGAAGAAAATCCTAGTCAAGAACAATTACATGGAAGACCATCGCTTGAAAGAAGCATTGGGATATCCCCAAAGATTCATCTGTACAAGTATTGCCCTGAGAGTTACAAAGAACTTTTCTCTAGGAGCTATATAAATTATTACTCATTCGACTCATTGCGAGCTATATGCCTTAATTGCAACATGTTCAGCATATCAGCATGAATCAAGACAGGTTGTGAAATTCGGATAGGATGGAGTATGCCTTCGTAGAAAAACAAAATGATGAATGTGTCACTTGCACTAAACTAAGGAGTGTAATCCTCAGATCGAATGAGGCCTGCTATTGCGGAATGGAAGATTCCCATGTAGATGCCTTTGGTATTTGGTCCAGCAGCAAAACCTACCCAGTAAAGAAGGAGGGCAGCTCATTAAGTCCGTTTTCATTAATGTCACAAAATTACAGTCTGTGTTGATTGGAGGTGCCGACTGGAATCAACTCCATCAATCATGTAAAATAAGGCAGATTATCGCAATCCTTATTTCCAATAGATCTTTACCTACCAAGAGAAGAGCCGCACTCTGTTAATAATTTCATCTGATCCTCCTGTGGTTCAGACTGTACCACATAGCTAGAAGGGAGAGCTGGAGGAAACCTGCCGAGAGTCGAAGGTTAGTCAGGGACCAGAAAACTGTGTCACAAGAAGTTTTAATGATTTCAGATATCTTCATGGTACTACTAGACAAGAGCAGACTCAGAGAGAAGCCCAGCCAAGTTCTCTGAGATGGTCTGGTGCTACTGGAATCTTGGTCATATTGTCTTATCGCCACATGGCGGCTTCTCCCACCGTGGAGACAGGAAAGGGCATTGCTGGTATTAAGAGTTCTTGACTACTTCCTCAGAGAAAGCCAGAGTTTTTACAAAAAGTATCAAATGTTGCTGGACTGTTTAAAGACTCTATTCTTTGTTTTATAGTTTAACAATGGTTATTTCACACCTAAGATGAGGGTATTGTCAGAAGGCCAGGGGACCATTTACAAAATACAAACAAATATTCACCGAGTAGAAATAATTTAGAAAACTTAAAGTTCAAGAAATTGTTCTCAGTCTGGTCAAGACAAGAGAAACTACCCTTTCTGTTCACCCTAAGAATCTAAATAGAACACAGTTTACTTGATAGATTTCTAAATTCCAATTACTATGAAATCCAATGACATCAATTAATATTCAAATTATTTTTAAGGTCAATCTGGACTTTCCTAAGCTTTTCACAAAGTTGTATGGATAATATCTTGGTTTAGTCTTCATTCATGCTCTGCAAATTTTTAAATGTTTACTGTTACTCTAAATTTGCAGAAATCACTTCATTTAATCACTCATTTGTTCATTCAGCACAAACGTATGGAGGGCTGGATATTTGCCGGGCACTGTGCTAGGGCTGTGTGCTGATCTTTCATGTCTACCATAAACATACATTCTAAAATAATAAGACAGGCTGACCAACATAGTGAGTCCCCATCTCTACAAAAAAAAATAAAATTAGCCAGGTGTGGTGGTGCATGCTGTAGTCCCCGCAGTTTGGAGATCACTTGAACCCAGGAGTTCAAGGTTGCAGTGAGCTATGATTATGCCTCTGCACTCCAGCCTGGACTCTAAAAATATAAACTAATCAGAAAGTCGAATGGATGATAATGGACCTTAAATATTTCCAGATCTTGAAGTACTTTTTGTAACAGAAGCAACCACAAAGTTACCGCCTCATGGTTTTTGTATTAAGATAATTTTTTATCGTGCATTTTAGAAATGATTTTCCCTTGTTTGCCATCGCCTAGCTGAGTGGATAAGAGCTGTGTTTCATGCTTGTGTGGGCACGGATGGGCCTGGGAAGGCAGCGCTGAAACTCTAAAACCCCAGGAGAGCTGGGTGGGGGCGGGTATCCAATAATGTCTTCCTGAATGGACTGGAAAAACAGACATGCATTTGCACCCAGCTGACATCCACCAGTT